ACCATGTAAGATGAAGGTGACCTTGAAATTCCAATCCTCTACCTGGTTTGTGCTATAAAGATAGAAACTGGGGCTTCTTGTATGCTAGCAAGACCCACTGAGCATAAGGGTTTATAATGCTTGAAAGAAAAATCTTAATTCCCCTTCCCACATTCTTCAGGTCTGCCTGTATAATCCAGGTTGGTCTCATGTAGCACAGGCTGGTCTTGAACTCCTTCCTAAGCCTTCTGAGTGCTGAGATGGTAGGTGTGTCCACTATACTAGTGACATACTTTTTTTTTTTTTTTTTTGGTTTTTTCGAGACAGGGTTTCTCTGGCTTTGGAGGCTGTCCTGGAACTAGCTCTTGTAGACTAGGCTGGCCTCGAACTCACAGAGATCCGCCTGCCTCTGCCTCCCGAGTGCTGGGATTAAAGGCGTGCGCCACCAACGCCCGGCACTAGTGACATACTTAATTGGAAAACCACTTTATCAAAACAAAGTTAATCTCTAAAAGTTCTATGAGTAGAAAGCAGGCTAAGCCCTGTCTAAAGGAAAAGGAGGAGGGCTGGAGAGATGGCTCACTGGTTAAGAGCACTGTCTGCTCTTCCAGAGGACCTGGCTTCAGTTCCCAGCACCCATTGGTGTCTCACAATGTCTATAATGGGATCCAGTGCCCTCCTGGCAAGCAGAAGAACAAGCAGACAGCACTCACATACTCACATACATCTTAAAAGAAACTGAAACAAACCTCAGCAAATTCCAAAGTAATATTGGTATATCCATTGTTGGTATATATAATATCCTGTTTTTGTTTTTGTTTTAGTGAGAGCGCGTACTATAGGGGAACTTTTAGCTCCTGCAGCTCCTTTTGACAAGAAATGTGGTGGTGAAACCTGGACTGTGGCATTTGCTCCAGATGGTTCATATTTTGCATGGTCACAAGGATATCGCATAGTGAAGCTTGTCCCATGGTCCCAGTGCCTTAAGAACTTGTAAGACTTCTTTTCTTGTTTTGTATTTGTAAAATTTATTCTTGGTCTTTCAGTATTGGGTAATAACATTTAAGTTTTTCTTTATAGAATGTTGAGTTTGTTTGTAGTTTGAATCCATGCATTGGAGGTTTGTGTAAGAATTACCTCAGCCTGTCATGGTGGTGCATCCCCTTAGTCCCAGCACTTAAGAGGTGGAGACAGATAGATCTCTGTTCAAGGTCAGCCTGGACTACACAGTCTAGGCTACCTTCAAACTCAGTAGCCTGGGTTGACTTTGAACTTCTAATCTTTCATCTCTGCTCAGAATTGTTGGAATGACAGGGTGTGCCACCACATCCCATTTATTTATGCTGGGATGAAGATCAGACCTGGTTTTCATGTATGTTATGCAAGTACTCTACCAACTGAAGTTTTATATATCTGCTTTTTAAATTTTGTTTAAGCTTGTGTGATCCCTTCACTGTTCAATGGGGTCAATGAAGTTCATATCTCATCAAGATATCCCTTCCTGAAGGAACATAATTCAGTCCTACTATCTGTCATCCCACAATTATCTGCCTGCCTCTGTCCCCACCTCCTGAATGCTGGGATTAAAGGCATGTTCTATCACTGCCCAGACATTTCACAATAATTTTATATCTCTCCTTGAATTAAGGATACTCACAACAGTGGGCTGGAGAGATGGCTCAGTGGGTAAGAGCAGTGACTGTTCTTCCAGAGGTTCTGTGTTCAATTCCCAGTAATCACATGGTAGCTCACAACCATCTGTAATGGTGCTCTCTACTGGCCTGTAGGCATCCATGCAGACAGAACGCTATACACAATAAATAATAAAATCTTTAAAAAAAACACTTAGGTGGAGGCAGAGGCAGGGGAATCTCTGTGACCAGCCTGGTCTACAAGAGCTAATTCCAGGACAGCCTCAAAAGCCACAAAGAAACCCTGTATCAAAAAAAAAAAAAAAACACAAAACAAAAGATATTCACAACAGCGAGCAATTTCCATTGAGATTCTAATACAGAACTTGATACTTTGGCAAATGAGCTAAATTAGTCATAAGAATAATTTTCATATTGAAAAGTTACCATTTTTCTCATGTCTTCTGAGCATAAACAAAGTGTAACAAGTTTTAGTGTCACCACTGGGTCTATCTACTGTGATAGAAACTCTCAGTTGAGATACATTGGCCAGTGCTGGACACTGACAATGGTACCCACTTCAGGTAGTCCTATTGAAGACAATTTTAAAGGAAGATAAGCTATAAACTGCTTTCTTTTTTTTTTTAAGATTTATTTATTACATATACACCAGATTGAATTATAGATGGTTGTCAGCCACCATGTGGTTGCTGGGAATTGAATTGAACTCAAGACCTCTGGAAGAGCAGTCAGTGCTCTTAACATCTGAGCCATCTCTCCAGCCCTATAAATTGCTTTCTTATTGAAGGTTTTCTCTGCCACTAATAGTTTTCATGAGTTGAATTTGTCTGGCCTCATTTCAGATACCAATTTTTCCATCTGTAGAAAAGTTATACTTTTGTTGAAATTAATAAGTGTTAACAACTAGTGTCTGCAGAAGTACAATATAAAGAATTCATTCTCAATCTTTCCCCCTTAGTCTTTTACATGGTTCCAAGAATGTTACCAATTCAAGCTCTCTGAAATTGACAAGACAAGATAGTAATGGTGGCCAGAAAAATAAGCCTCGTGAACACATTATAGACTGTGGAGACATAGTCTGGAGTCTTGCTTTTGGGTCTTCAGTTCCAGAAAAACAGAGCCGTTGTGTTAATATAGAATGGCATCGGTTCAGATTTGGACAGGATCAGCTACTCCTTGCCACTGGATTAAACAATGGTCGCATCAAAATCTGGGATGTCTATACAGGTATGGATTCATAATTTCAAAGGTGAATCTGATTATAATAGAAGTACTAGAATATATGATTTGAGTGTTATATTAGGTCTACATGGTAGAGAACTAACCTCAGGTAGTTTTCCTCAGACACATACACACATACAATAAAGTTATACTGTACAAATACTTGGAAAAGGCAGTGGTACAGAGTTTGATCTAGGGATTTGCTTACATTTCTGCTATTCCTTTTACATTTTTTCTAGTAAATGGTAAGGTTTGTTTTCTTGGGAGGAAATTGCTTAAAAATCTAAGTGAATCCTCACAAGTAACAATAGCCATTAATTAATATGAAGTTACTTCATAGAACCAGGCGGTACCCAAAAATGTCTGTTTGTTCTTTACAGTTAACAAAACTATAAAAATAGAAGATAAGAAATAATGATCTTGTCCCTTTTTTCTCCTTTCCATCACATCAGGAAAGCTCCTCCTTAATTTGGTAGACCATGTTGAAGTGGTCAGAGACTTAACTTTTGCTCCAGATGGGAGCTTAATCCTTGTATCAGCTTCAAGAGACAAAACTCTCAGAGTGTGGGACCTCAAAGATGATGGTATGTATGTCTTTTGTCTTGGCTCCAGCTGTGTAAGAGTGAGGTGTTGTGGTTTTTGTTATTGTTTGTTTATTGTTTTTTTTGAGGCAGCAGGGTCTCTATAGCTCTGGCTGTCCTGGAAATCTCTATGTAGATCAGGCTGACCTTACAGAGGTCCACCTGGCTCTGTCTCCTGAGTGCTGAAATTGAAGGCCTGTGCCACAATGTCTGACTTGATGTGACTACTGGGAGTGATTACCAGATCCCCCCACCCCATATACACACCTGTAATCATAGCTCTAGGAGAATTGAGAGATCCAGGCCAAATTTGGTTACTTAGCAAGACACTGTATTAGAAAACACAAACAAATGACTTAGTGACCAAGGTGTCTTTTCTATTTAATAACACTTAGGAAACAAAAATAGATTAAGCCAGCAGTAACTATAATGAACCATCTTGACTCTGCTCATAAACCAACCACACAGATCTATAACTCTAGTTCCAAGGGATCCTACCTTTTGGTCTCTGATGCATGCACATGGTACATAGACATATGCAGCTTAAACACTCATGCATGTCCTTTTAAAATTAAAAAATTTTTTTTGGTTTTACGAGACATAGGGTTTCTCTGTATTGTTTTTTGGAGGCTGTCGGTCCAGCCTGGCTTCGAACTCACAGAGATCCGCCTGCCTCTGCCTCCCAAGTGCTGGGATTAAAGGCATGTGCCACCACCGCCTGGCTAAAATTAAAAATTAAAATTTTTAAGCAACCATTTTAGTCATCCAGTAAAATTAGATTATAGCCTCATTTACAAACCAGGATATATAACATGGTATCTCCCCTCCCCCCCTGGAGACAGGGTTTCTCTGTGGCTTTAAAGGCTGTCCTGGAACTCACAGAGATCTACCTACCTCTGCCTCCCAAGTGCTGGGATTAAAGGCGTGCGCCACCAACGCCTGGCCCTAACATGGTATCTTAATGTTTACAAAGTTTTATCTTGTTTGAGAGAAACAGAAATGAATGCATATCAGGCTAAAATACCTGCCTTTGTCTCCTAAATGCTGAGATTAAACACATAAATGAGCATGTCTGGCTTTTACATTCTAAAATGTGTTATTTGTAGTTATGTATATTCATGTGTGTCTACATGGTTGTATATGGGTTCCTGAGGATGCCAAAGGCATTGGATCCCTGGAATTGGAGTTACAAGTATTTGTGAGATACCCAATTAGGGTGCTGGGTATCAAACTTAGGTCCTCTGTAAGAGCAGAATGTGCTCTTGACTACTAAATAGTGTCTCCAGTTCCATGTAATTTTATCAAGCACCAGATACTACTCTTTGAGAGTTAGAGGCCAGCCAGCATCTATATACATTTTTTTCAGCTATAAAAGTTTATGGTAACTGTAGACTACAGTCATGTCAGTACTTACTGATTTCAGATGCACTCTCCTGACGTAGATGTTTCTTTTTGTTTAGGAAACATGATGAAAGTATTGAGGGGACATCAGAACTGGGTGTACAGTTGTGCATTCTCTCCTGATTCTTCTATGCTGTGTTCAGTTGGAGCCAGTAAAGCAGTATGTGTCAAAGTTCTTGTACTTGTATTGTGAATTGGATAATGTATGCTTAATCATTTTTAAATCTAAGTAACCTATTGTCTGTGCTCGGTGTCATGAACTTCTTAATGCCTTATTTCATGATGGAGAGAATTTGCATGTAGAAAACTAGTTATTTTTTGTGAGTTGAGAAATTAATTGCTTTTAGAGATGCTTATGAAATGTAGGTTAGTTTTTTGTGGGATCTAAGAAAGTTTATGTGATATAGACAAGATCTAGTCCGTATGTTAAGATATTTCCTTGCTAATTATTTTTTGTTTTGTTTGCTGGTTCGTTTTTTAAGTTTGAGTCCTAGCTGATCCTAGATGTTTAATTGAAAAAAATTAGTAATTTAAAAATGTTACAGCATGCCTATTGACAGCATAAGTAATGACTGCTGAAGGCCATGCTTTCAGTGAACTCTCAGTTTACTAGCTCTGAGTTAATGTAGCAGTAGCATTGAGTGAAATTGGCTGAACTCCAGATATGTATAATGATCACAGCACGCTTTGGATTAATGGGGGTGGGGGTTGTGGCTAGATAAAACACATTTTATTTTGCCAAGAAGTATGTTAAAATGATAGTTGTAAATAAATGTTAGAAGTTTAGAACAAAATAGCTTAGTGTGTTCTTTTTTTCTTAAATCATAAAACAAGCTAGATGTTGACATTGCTATTTTAGGCTGTGTGTTTTCCATATGCTTCTTGCTTTCCCTGTCACAGGTGGTGGCAGCAATATTGGTGTGATTGAGGTTATGCTGGCACCACGCACACAGGCGCACAATGGTGTTAGCTGGGCAGAAAGAGTGGCATCTCTGGCTACCGGGCTGGGGGCGACCTTTACCCTAGGATGAAGTAACCTTGCATTCGGCTGCAAGGTGTACTGTACGTACACAGGTGCTGGTCGATGTCCACTTTCTGCTTTTCTTTCTTTTCTTTTCTTTTTCTTTTTTTTTCCTTTAAAAAATAATTTTCCCCACAGTAAAATCCAGACTCCTGAGTAAATTGATCTTCTAATTTGGAATTGAGAGTCTGACAAGTGAACCCAATTTAATATAAAGAAATTGGTTTTTGAGTGCTTTCTCTGTTGCTTTTTGGAATTTAAGATATTGGCAGTACCTTAAGTCATTGACCCAGTTATTATACTTTTGGAAATAACTTGTGCAGAAAGGAGAAGAGGAAAGGATTGCTCTGTCCCAAGAGGAGGGGCACTGTCTCACTAGGCTTGCTGTAAACCTCCAAGCTTGTGTTTAATCTAACAGACGGCAGTATGCTTTAGAATCCTGACTAGAGCTCCTGGGGAGGCAAGTGGATCACAAATTCAAGGCCAGCCTGGGCTTCTTAGTTCAAGGCCAGCCCAGACATCTTAGTGAGACACAGCTTCAAAGCAAAAACAAAAAAAAAACCAAAACCAGCAAAACTTACTTACAGCCTTCTGCACAGTCTTTGGATGTTTAAAATCTAAAGTGTATGTGAACTTATTTTTAAGTAATTTAACTTTTATGCTGAAAATGACTAGTGATTATAGTCAGTTTGGAAAAATAAAACTTAATCACAAAAAGAAAAGTTGTAATTATATAAAATTGCACTTTCATTTGTAATGTGGTTTAACATCTGTATTGTTTGCCAACAAAATTACATTTTGGCTGTGAAAATTCTCTTTTCTTGCAGTATCTGTTTCTCTTCCTAGGCTCTCGGTGGTGACCCAAGCCTATTGTAAACAAGTGATTATCTCAAAGGGAGATGCCAATGGAGTAACAATTTGCTAACATTGCATTTTCTGTCTGTATATATTTTTAAAAATTGGTAGTTTCTGGAAAAAAAAAGAGAAAGGGGTTTGTAATACTTAACCCTAATTATTTCCATATATTTTAGTTAGTTTTTGGAATAAATGGATTTCAGTATGTGGTTAATATTGCATTGCCTTTATTTTCCCTTTAGGCTTATTTTTTAAATTAACATTTAACAGAAACATGAAATAGAAATTTGCATGTCTGCTTTAATTAACTTAAAAAGACTGATTTTTAATCTATGACACTGAGCATATTTAAATTACTCATAATTTGTAATTAATTTAATATAATGTTAAAGTAGCAGTTGTAGTTTAAGATGTGCCCCTTTGTCCTCTGTGTGTCTGATTGAAACTATAACATTTGCCTTTTTATTATTGCAGGTTTTCCTTTGGAATATGGATAAATACACCATGATAAGGAAACTAGAAGGACATCACCATGATGTTGTAGCTTGTGACTTTTCTCCTGATGGAGCATTGCTAGCTACTGCATCTTATGATACTCGTGTGTATATCTGGGATCCACACAATGGAGACATTCTGATGGAATTTGGGTGAGTACAACATGAATTATCTTGGTCTGTAATTCAGTACTAGCTATCACTACAGCTTTGAAGAAGTTATGTGAAAAATTAGAATCCCCAACAAAAAAAGTAAAATTAACAATCTCTCATAAGTTTTTCCATTATATGAGCTCTTGAGTAATGCAAAGCTTTAGCTAAACTCAGAGTGAATGTGACTCTTATTAGGTGGGTCTCAGTATTTTAAGTGTCTGGTTCTGTAGAGTGGTAATATAGTAGAGTTTTATGTTGTATACCACATTGTGAAAAAGAGGTGAATAGCTTTTTCCAAAGCCCTTGCTTTTGGCAGTTCTGAGAAGCACAGTCACTGAACCCTTGCCTGAAGAATAGCACCCAACAAATGACTATCTTCCTATTACATTTAGCTCTGCTGTAACAGCTCTCTCTATCTTAGTTGTATCATCGGAGTTAAATCTTACTCAAAGGCCAGTGAACTTGATCCCAGGGCCATTTTGTTTGTATCAATTCTGAAACCCACTGAAAATTATGTCTCTGACCTCAGGCACCTGTTTCCCCCGCCCACTCCAATATTTGCTGGAGGAGCAAATGACCGATGGGTACGAGGTGTGTCTTTTAGTCATGATGGACTCCATGTTGCCAGCCTTGCTGATGATAAGTAAGTATTCAGAGTATAGTTTGACTTTTCATGCCTTTGAAAGGTTTCTTTTCTTTTACTTAAAGCATGCTTTAAATTATAACAACTTTTAGTTTTTGTGGAGATGTTTTTTTGTTTGTGTTTGAAATGGTCTTGGTATGTGGGCTGGGTTGATCTTCAACTTAACATCCTTCTACCTTTGCCTTCTGGATGCTGAGAATTTGATGTGAACCACTATCCCCATCCTGTAGCTGTTTTTTTTTTAAAGATATATTTATTTATTACATATACAGTGTTCTGCCTACATGCCAGAAGAGGGCACCAGATTGAATTGTAGATGGTTGTGAGCCACCATGTGGTTGCTGGGAATTGAACTCAGGACCCCTGGAACAGCAGTCAAGTGCTCTTAACCTCTGAACCATCTCTCCAGCCCCCTGTAGCTGGGTTTTTATCTCTATCTAGACAAACACCTTGCTTTTTGCTTAATTGGCTATGGTAGTGCACACCTGTAAAATTAGTAGCCATTGCCTTTGAGATTAGGCAAATGTAGAAAAGAATAAAGCAAATAATTATTTTGTTTGTAAGAAAATTAGAAAACTTCTAGTTGTGAACACTACAGGTTCAGTCACTGAGATCACAAAGCCGTGCCTTGTGATTTCTTTGGAGTTCATTCAAATTGCCAAGTGGAATAGAATATAAAATAGTGTATAAAGCGTATTAGTATCATTGACATAGTTGAATGTGGAGGCTCATTCCTGTCATTGTAGCACTTTTGGAGGCTGATGCAGGAAGATTCCAGTTTGGATTATGTAGTGAGACCATACTCAACAAAAAAATTACTTTTAGTTGCCTGGTTGTAGTGGTGCACGCCTTTAATCCCAGCATTTGGGAAGCAGAGTCAGGTGAATCTGAGTTTGAGGCCAGTCTGGTCTGTAGATTGAGTTCCAGGATAGTCAGGACTGTTACACGAGAAATTTTTCTATTAGCTGTGTGAAGGTGACACATGCCTATAATCCCAGCTCTTGGGAAGTAAAGGCAGGAAGACCAAGAGTTTGATGCTGGCCTGTCTCAACCAAAGTCACCATGATCTCTGGAGTGATTTGTGTGTGCTCTGTGACTCCAGAAGCATTGCTTTCTGACTTACTCAACTCACTCCATTGCTTATTTCCCTTCCAGAATGGTGAGGTTCTGGAGAATTGGTGAGGATTGTCCAGTACAGGTTGCACCTTTGAGCAATGGTCTTTGCTGTGCCTTTTCTACTGATGGCAGTGTTTTAGCTGCTGGGTAAGTATGTCTTGTTTCTTTCCATGTCTGTGCATCATGTGCACGTAGCACCTGCAGCGATCAGAAGAGGGTGTGGTCTAGAACTGGGGTTCAAGGTGTTTGTGAGCTACCTTGTAAGTGCTGGAACTGAACTCTGGTCTTCTGGAAGAGCATTGAGTTCTTTTAGCAGCTGAACTATATCTCCAGCCTTTTCTCTTGTTTACCAGAAAAAGTCCTGTAAATTCCCTTATCTTGGAGTACATCATTGGTTACTTCTTACTAGATTTTAAAGTAAGATCTGTGATTCTGACATGGAGCTATAGGGACATGAAATACATGTAGTTGGGTGACCATGCTTTTGTTTTTTCATTTCTCTTAAGGACACAAGATGGAAGTGTATATTTTTGGGCCACTCCAAGGGAAGTCCCTAGTCTTCAACATTTATGTCGAATGTCAATCCGAAGAGTGATGCCCACCCAAGAAGTCCAGAAACTTCCGGTTCCTTCCAAAGTTTTGGAGTTTCTCTCCTATGTGTTTAGAAGGAAAACTCCCTTTCCTGGTAGGGCCTGACAGAACGCAAGACACACCTCAAGCTTTACCAACTTAAGCATTTGTTCTTAAAGGCTCGGAAGATGTATTTAATTTGACTCTTACACTTCATTTCTTTTAAAGCATTATTTATAGACCATAGGAGAAATATTTCTGAACATATCATGTAATTTTTTTAAAGATTAACTGTGAAAACATAGACATACCTGTATATATTTAGATACAAGCTGCTATGTATTGAACGGGCCCTTTTGGTTTTCTAACTCTTAGTTCTGACCTGTATATATTGCTTTAGTAGAGCCACGGTGTAAATATGTGCTATTTGTTGGAACAAACTCAATGGAATTTGAGTTTAGGTGATGCTGAATTAAAGCAGAATTGCCTCATAGGAAATGAAATTGGTTAGGATGGAAGGTGTCAAACTGACTGAGAGAGACTTTTTGAATATGGAAAAGATTTTCCACAAGAATGGTGTCAGGGAGTTTGAATGTGACATTTAAGAAGAGCCAGTAAAAAAGGTAGCTAGGAAAAAGTTTTTTCTGTAGGCCTTAATATTGAAAGCAGCTACTTATCCCTCAGAGAATAAAGTATTATGCATTGTTGTCAATTTGAAAAATACACCTACTGCATTATTGCTGAATATTTTGATAATACTAAGGGACAGTTATTTTAAAACTGTGGGTTCTTTTTTAAAAAAAAAAACACAAAACCACATATTCTGTTTCTTCAGAGAATGGTATTGGTGACTTGCCAAAGAGAAGCAATACATTATATCTGCTTTTGCCTTTTGTTATTTTTCTCATCTGCAGATGTTGAGAATGTATGCATTATGTAAAATGCTTGTTTTATATCTTTGGGTTTTTTAAATTAAAAGATATTAAAAAGTAATACATTGCAAATGTTTCTTTCATGTGTTGCATTGTGTGATACTTTTGTCTAGCTGCATTGTAAGTTTAATGGTGGCCCACAAGCACTAGAGGAAAAAACTATGACAGGAAGACATTGATTTGTGAGTACGTACATGCCCTTGTGTTCTGCTGTACTTGTACTTATTACCTAGAAGTACCTAAAGCTGTAGAACAAAACAACTGAGCTACAGAATATCTTTTAGAGAAACTGATAGGCTCAAAGTAAACATACTTGGTTAAATAACAAGAGACTGGTGGTCTGGGTCCTTGAAGAAGGCAAACCACCAGACACTGCTAGCCATTCGTGAACTCAGGTAAGACCATCTCCACTGAGAATATTTGGAAGTTCTCCATTGTTGGCTATGTTAAAGTATATGGAAGTGAGCCGGGCGTTGGTGGCACACGCCTTTAATCCCAGCACTCGGGAGGCAGAGGCAGGCGGATCTCTGTGAGTTCGAGACCAGCCTGGTCTACAAGAGCTAGTTCCAGGACAGCCTCCAAAGCCACAGAGAAACCCTGTCTTGAAAAACCAAAAAAAAAAAAAAAAGTATATGGAAGTGGTTATGAGAGCCAGAAAAGAAGCCAAGTGCTATCTATATTACAAAAGAAGCAAACACTTCTATAACCTCTTGTGGTGCTTTGTTTCATTTGAATACCTACTATAAGTTAAAGATTTTTAAAAACTAAAAAATTTTAAAGTTAAATATAAAAATAAACTTTTAAAAAGTAAACTTAATCTCCATGATTTTCTCTAAACACACCAAACACCGGTCATGTAAAGATACTTAGCTGAATGATCCACACTGCTTGAGATGGCCCTAGTCGCTTGCATCCTCAGTGCTGTAGGAAAGGGACACAACAGATGACAAATGCAAACATGCCTGAGCTTCCTTTTGACTTAGGAGTGGGTAGCGACAGGATGGTGGTTCTACACGATTAAAGGGAGACAGGAAAAAAAGGTGGTTGGGCTCTTGAGTCAGATTCCAACTGTGTGATTTCTTGTATATTCCTTGCCTCAGTCATGCCACTTGGAGAACTGGCAAGAGATTATTGACATTGAGATTTGAATGCCTGGGAATTTTTGGTTTTTGATACAGGGTCTCACTGGGTGACCTTTGTAAGGGTGGTATGAATGCAGGGAAGAGTCTCATACTGTCATAATGATGGATACCACTTTAAGGCCTGTAACCTGATCTTTGGTTGGCAAACCCTCAATTTATGATCCTTGAAATTCCTTGCCTGCTTGTGATTGAGATAAAGTTGGATTGGGCTGGTCTGCACTGCCCTAAGGGCAGCAAGACCTATAATGGGCTGGAGGAAACTAGGATTCTTAGTCTAGGCAGTGGACTTGGCTGTCAGCCGAGCTCAAGGATAAGAAAAGAAAAAGCTTGTAGTTAAACATTGTCTCACATGGCAGAAACCATGGAGGCCATCAGAGTGACACTTGGAGGTGACATGGTGGCTCACAACTGTCTGTAACTTCAGTTCTAGGGAATCTGACACCCTCTTCTGGACTTCCCTGGCACCAGGCATACCTGTGGTGCACAGTGGAGTTGTACATGAGCTTATACTTGTTTCTATAAGAGCATAGGATATTGGTGGTAGTGTACTGTGTATGTGTGTGTGTGGTCTTAAATCATCTCTGAGAAGTCAGACTGTTACAACAAACAGTATGTTGGCACCTAAAGGAATGATTGTCATTACCTTAGTGTGCTTATGTAAAGTGTTCTGGTGATTAAACATCTTTGCTAGGCAAGGGTGAGATTTCTCAGTGGTTAAGAGCGTTTATTGCGCCAGGCATTGGTGGCACATGCCTTTAATCCCAGCACTCAGGAGGCAGAGGCAGGCGGATCTCTGAGTTCGAGGCCAGCCTGGTCTACAGAGCGAGTTCCAGGATAGCCTCCAAAGCCACAGAGAAACCCTGTCTCGAAAAACAAAACAAAAGAGCGTTTGTTGCTCTTGTAGAGGACCTGAGTTCCATTCCCAGCACACAGGCAGCTCACTACTGTTCATAACTCCAGGTCCAGGAGATGCAGTACTTTCCTCTGACCTTGGACACTACGCATATCTGTGGTGCACATACATGCTTGCAGGCAAGACAATTACACATATAAAATAAAATCTTTAAAAAAAACCCCACAAACTAACAAAATCCAGAACAACAAAAACACCTCTAAAGCTTGCCTTTAGACAAAAGTAAAAATTGGGTCTGCACCGGGGTAAAGTGAGACTATCACAAGTGATGTGTAGCTATATGTAGTAGTCATTTGACCCATTTGTTATTAACTCTAGCAGGATGTGTTCCTTCTAGAGTCAGCTGATGCTTACCTTTGGGCTTAGTGACAGAAATCACATTTCAGGCTGGGGGAAAGCTCAGTGGGAGCATACTCCCCTGGTATGCTGGAGGCCTCCAGTTCAACTCATGGCACCACATGGGAAAAAAGGGAGAAAGAAAACCAACTTTGGGGCTGGAGACATGGCTCAGTAAAATGCTGCAGTGTAAAGCTATCAAAGAAGACACCCAATTGCGGGCCTGTGGCCACACACACAAAATGAATTCCTCCACTTATGAAATAAAGAGTAAACTATAAAAGGATCACCTCGCAGACCAGAAGTTGCTATCCCAATAGGTTTGTGTTTCCCAATTGTTGGTTTATAATGCATGTTTTAATGCAGCAACTAATAAGGATTGACACCCTCTTAGCACTGCAGGTAGTGAGTCAGTCTCACATAAGAATAGGGATGATGTATTTAGTGATGCCTGAGGAAGAGAATATAAAATAGAGCCAGGACTGAAGCAAATGTAAACTGGGAACCACAGGGCCCTAACCACAAAAGGGAAACCAGAAAGTTATATGGTTCTCAGTCCATCTTGTCCAAAAGGACACTTACTATCTATATGTTAGGAGTTGGCCATTCACGTGTTGAACTGTTCATCCCTAGTGGGATGGCATTCAGAAATAGGGATTGGGAAAGTGGTGTAGATTATGAGGATGGGAGCCCTTGTAATGGGATTTGTGCCCTTATAAAAGTGACCCTAGAGAGATATCTCCTCCCTATTAAGATATGAGAAAGGAGCCGGGCGTTGGTGGCGCACGCCTTTAATCCCAGCACTCGGGAGGCAGAGGCAGGCGGATCTCTGTGAGTTCGAGACCAGCCTGGACTACCAAGCGAGTTCCAGGACAGCCTCCAAAGCCACAGAGAAACCCTGTCTCGAAAAACCAAAAAAAAAAAAAAAAAGATATGAGAAAGGGCAGTGAAAGGGGCCTTTACCAGTCACCCACTGAGCTGGCTCCTGGATCTTGTACTCCCCAGAGCTCTGAGAAGTGTTTGCTGTATCTTCAGCTGCCCATTCCGTGAGCTTTGTAACAACAGAGCAAACACACCAGAGGCATGCCTTCTATATTAGCTCTGCTAAAGCACAAAGCTAGCCACTTGTGTGCATCCCCACCACCGTTTGCATCTGGGAATTCCTCCACAGGTTTGTTTTCAATGCTTAAAGTTTGTTTTACAAAGCCACAGAGAAACCCTGTCTCGAAAAACCAAAAAACAAAAAAATAAAAAATAAAGTTTGTTTTAAAGGTTGTAGACTCTTGGAGGTAGGGTCTGCCTGAGCCAATCAGGTCACTGAATGCTGGGGAGTTTTGAAGGTTATACATTACTCCTACTTCCAGCCTAGCTCACTCTACTTCCTGATCTGTCACTGTGTGAGCAACTGTGGCCTCATGTTCCCACTGCCATGCCTTCTCTACCTGCTGGACCAAGTGAGACAGAATATTTGTCCCTTAAGCAGTGACATGAAAGTCAGTGACATATCCAGTGATGCCTGTCTCTGCAGGGGTTCAAGTTTTCCTTTGGGTGATATTGATGGAGCTGGGCAGAGAACCAGGGGTCCAGGGGTCTTCTGTGTTGCAAGGGTCTGCAGGCAGTACCTGGGAAATAGTCAGAGGTGGTCCCCACCGCTCCTATTTCCTCCCAGTCTGTTTTGTTTTCTTCATTTTTGTCAGGCCCAGCTCTCAGGAAGGGCCTCTGTGGTGGTCCCAGACAAGCTGCCCCAGATCATTGCAGTCTTGCCTGAATTCTGAGACCTCATTTTCTGGCTGCCTCCTTGGACTTTCAAATAAAACCCTGTTTCAAATAAGTTAATCATTCTTAGATGTTGATTCCTTGTTTAGAAGGCAAATTCCTTACACCTGAGGAGATTCTTCAGCCTTCCCACGGGAGCTGTTGGTGACTGGCATTTGGGTCACAAGGATAGGTTGTTGGTGCCAAGGCTTGATGAGGTAGGTGAGCTGACATGGGCATAACCCGAGTTGTGGGGGTTTGGATGAGAGACTCGGGATCCACTTACCACACTTGTGCTATGTGAAGAAAGCAGCTCTCAACTGGGTCATGCTGCTCAATGATTGGCAAAAGCCGAGCTTACTGGGCTTGGTCCCATCTGGCTCCCAGCAGGAGGGTGTGCACATAACAGTTTGGCCATGTTCCTCACCCTAAGATTTCTTTCTACCCAGAGGATGTTGCAGACATGGTGACTGAGGTGGCTATCCTAGGGAAGACTTGTGTGATTTGCTAGGTTGCTTAGTGATGTCACAATGTCTCCCCGCATGGGTGATGTTGGCTCTTACTTCCTTTCTGCAGTGTTGGGTCCTACTTGACATTTGGTACTGACATTTGTTGAGCATTGGCTACAGGCTCATTTCACTGTTCCTGGTACTCTTCAGCAGTTCTGGGAAGTTATTGTCTTCCTTTTATGGCTGTGTGAGTTCAGAGACTAACTCCCACTTCTAGGTGGAGAGGGTCTGATGATCTTGAGGTCCAAGATGGATGCTAGAAAGAAAACAAGTCAGTCTCCTTCCTGTGTCTTTGCCAACCCCTTTCCCTGCCCCCCTTCCCTTCCCAGGGAGGCCAGCCATGATGTCAGGCTAACCTTTGCCAATACACCCTATCCTTTTCGTTGGATAATGGAAAAGACAAACAAGGAATGACCCTGAATATAATGAGGCAATTGAAATAAACACAGAATGACTATTGTGCCCTGCCCTTTGCTCAGTGCCTAGGAAAATTAACACCGGAAGTCAGTTGGTTTTCTGCCCCCACACTGCTGTCCTTGGGTACACATGTCTCACTCAAACAAATCATTTTTATTGCCCATGTGACAAATCCAGCTCCAACAGGCTGTAGCAGGATCCACCAGGGCTGGGCTGCAGGTGAGAAGTGAGTGGCCTCGAAGCTCTCCTGTTGAAGATCAACACCTGACCAGGCCACAAGAGCCTCTTGTACCAGCAGGATTGGCCTCACTGGTCCGGAGACGACCTGGACCAGAGTCCCCAAGGCTGGATCAGGCTGGATGTAAGTTCTCTGTGTCAGCTCATGGATGCTATTGATGGAGTGGGGCAAAGCAACAAGGCAGGGCCGACGTCAATATCAAAGCTCATTCTTGCCACACTTGGATGAAAAGTTAGACTTTGATTCTCCTCCCAGAAGCCGGATGTGGCATCTAATGTGAGTATGCCTAGCACTTGGGAGGTTGAGGTAAGCTGAGGCCGCCCTGATCTAAATGAGACCCTGTCTCAAAATAAAAACCTCCTTTATATTAAAAAATGATTGTTTATTTTTATTTTTGCTTGTTTGTTGAGACAGGGTTTCTCTGTGTAGCCCTGGCTGTCCTAGAACTTATTCTGTAGACCAGACTGGCCTTGAACTCAGAGATCTGCCTGCTCCTGCCTCCCAAGTTCTGGGAATACACCACTACAGTCCAGCTAAGGTTTTTTTTAAAAATTTTATTGTGTGTATGTGTGTGTCTATGTGTGATGAGCAAGCCTTATGCATATGGGTGCCCTTAGAAGCCATAGGGGGCACCTAACCCCCTAAATCTGGAGTTACAGGTAGTTGCGAGCCACCTGATACAGTTGTGGTGAACCCAACTGGGTTTCTCTGAAAGAGAAGCAAGGGCCATTTCTCTATCCCCCTCCATCACATTTTAATATCCCTGAAACTGAGATGTCTTTTGTAATCCTTGTGTTTTTTAAAATCTTGTTGAGTGTGGTAGCACATGCCTGTAATCCCAGCACTCAAGAGACGAACACAAGAGGATAGAAAGTTGAAGGAGGTAAACCAGGTGTGTGGTAGGAAGAGAGGCTAATCTGGTCTACTGAGCAAGTTCCAGAACAGCCAGGAATACACAGAGAAACCCCATCTTAAAAAATTAAAACAAGAGTAGAGATTGGGTGGGGGGCTGGGGGACCTAGTGGGGAGGGTGGGGGAGCAGAGGAGGGAGAGGGAGCTGGGATTGACATGTGAAACAAGATTTTTTTCTTAACTAAATGAAAAAAAATTTTAAAGATAAAAAATTAAAACAAGAAGAACGTTGGAGGCAGTCTGAACTCCAAGCAAAACACTTTCAAAACAAAAACCAAACATAAATCTCTCAAATGGTGTGCAGTAAAATGACACATTATCTACAGTGTTGCAGATTAGAGTCAGTAGTGTCTAGGTCCCCTCAATGCTAGGATTTCATGGAGAAGCTGATACTGCAACCAGGCAAGTGAAGCATACTGGTCATCTAGCACTTGGAATTTGGAGGCAGGAAGATCGGGGATTCTAGACCAGCATAGGTTACATAAGACCCTACTTTAAAACAAAACAAATAAAACTAACCATTACAGTCTACATATAATTTAAAAGTCAATAGAACGTTATAGGTACTGTCAAGAATAAAAGATGGCAAAAAGAGGCTGCCAGTTAAGGGGGAGGGAGGATGAAGCAAATTGGTGGATAGAGCAACTGTGGGATCTTCCTGGAAATGACAACAAGGATCAACCAAATCATGAATCACATTCAGAGCGGGGCTGGGCTCAGTCAGTGGGATGCTTGCCAACCTGTATGAAGCGCTGCTTTCCATCCACAGCATCACACAAACTGGGCTTGATGGTGCGTGCTTGTAGTCTCAGCACTCGGGAGGGGGGTAGAGGTGGGGGTCTCTGTGAGTGAGAAGCTAGTCTGGTCCACATAGCAAGTTCCAGGTCTGGTAAGGCTACATAGTGAGGCCCTGCCTTAGAACATAACAACGCTCTGCTCTAGGGGCTGGAGAGAGGGCTTCATCTGTTCAGAGACCATGCTACTCTTTCAGAGGACTCAAGTGTAGGTCCCAGCACCCATGCTAGGTGGCTCACAGACACATCTAACTCCAGTTCCCAGGGACCCAACACCCTTTTCCAGCTTCTGTGAACATCCACACATATGCTGCATTCACTCAGAGATACACACACGCTTCATTCACTCAGAGATACACACACGATTCATTCACTCAGAGATACACACTACAGAATGGGAAAAGATATTCAGTAACCCCACATCTGACAGAGGGCTGATCTCCAAAACTTACAAAGAACTGAAGAAGCTAGTCTCTAAAACACCAACTGAAAAATAGGTTACAGAACTACATAGAGAATTCTCAATAGAGCAGTCTAAAATGACTGATAGATACTTAAAAACTGAAGAATATTTTTTTGTTTTGTTTTGCTTTGCTTTGTTTGGTTGATTGTTGTTGGTTTTTTTTTGTTTGTTTGTTTTTTTTGTTTTTGTTTTTTTCAAGACAGGGTGTAGGAGTGAACTCCACAAAGTTATCTGCCCATGAGGGCGGGGACAAGTAAATTAGCACAGGTAGAGCTTCGAAAGGAAAAAAGACCTCCTCTTTTGGAAGCCGGCCACACTTCTGACTCCCAGCTTGTGTGATTCTCTCTCTGGTAAATAAATATATTGTATTCCCTATAGCATTGACTATCATCGATAACAGGGTTTCTTTGGAGGCTGTCCTGGAACTAGCCCCCATTCTGTGGGCTGCCACTTTGCCTTGTTGACTGTGTCCTTTACCTTACAGATGCTTCCCAGTTTCAGGATGTCCCATTTACTAATTTTCCAATCTCAGTGTCTGTGCTACTGGTATTATGCTCAGGAAGCTGCTCCTGTACCAGTTCGATAAAGGGTATTCCCACTTTCTTGTCTAAGAGGTTCAGTGTGGCTGAATTTATGTTGGGTCTTTGATCCATTTGGACTTAAGTTTTGTGCATGGTGATAGATATGTCATCTTCTACATGCCAGCATCCAGTTTTGCCAGCACCATTTGTTGAAGATGCTTTCTTTTTTCCATTGTATAGTTTTAGCTTCTTTGCCAAAGATCAGGTGTTCATAGTTGTGTGAGTTAATATCAGGGTCTTCAATTCGATTCCATTGGTCTACCTGTCTATTTTTGTGCCAATACCAAGCTGTTTTTGTTACTATAGCTCTATAGTAGAGCTTGAAGTCAGGGATGGTGATGCCTCCTGAAGTTTCTTTATTGTACAGGGTTGTTTTGGCTTTCCTGGGTCTTTTATTTTTCCATATAAAGTTGAGAATTGTCCTTTCAAGGTCTGTGAAGAATTGTGCTGGGAGTTTTGATAGGGATTGCATTGAATCTGTAGATTGCTTTTGGTAAGATTGCCACTTTTACTATGTTGATCCTACCTATCCAAGAACATGGGAGATGTTTCCATTTTCTGGTATCTTTTTTAATTTCTTTTTTTTTAGTGGCTCAAAGTTCTTGTGATACAGATCTTTCACCTGTTTGGTTAGAGTTACCCCAAGATATTTTATGTTGTTTGTGGTTATTGTAAAGGGTGATGTTTCTCTGGTTTCCTTCTCAGCACATTTATTGTAGGAATTCCCTGGTGGAATTCTTTAGGTCACTTTTGTAGACTATTATATCATCTACAAATAGTGAAAGTTTTAGCCATCAGGGAAGTACAAATCAAAACAACTCTGAGATACCATCTTACTCTTATCAGAATGGCTAAAATCAAAAACACCAATGACACTTTATGCTGGAGAGGATGTGGAGAGAGGGGAACACTCCTCCACTGCTGGTGGGAGTGCCAACTTGTACAGCCACTTTGGAAATCAGTGTGGAGATTCCTCAGGAAAATGGGAATCAGCCTACCACAAGATCCAGCAATTCCACTCGTAGGCATATACCCAAAAGATGAACATTCATACAATAAGGACATTTGTTCAACTATATCCATAGTGGCATTATTTGTTATAGCCAGAACCTGGAAGCAATCTAGATGCCCCTCAACCGAAGAGTGGATAGAGAAAATGTGGCACACTTATACAATGGAGTACTACTCAGCAGAAAAAAACAAAACAAAAAAAAATGGAATCTTGAAATTTGTAGGCAAATGGATGGCACTAGAAGAAACTATCCTGAGGTAACCCAGTCACAAAAAGACGAACATGGTATATACTCACTCATATATGGATTTTAGACATGAAGCAGGGGATTGCCAGCCTACAATCCACCGCTAGAGAATCTGGGAAACAGGGAGGACCCTAAGAGAGATATGCATAGTACCCTGGAGAAGGGGAATGGGACAGGATCTCCTGAGCAGATTGGGGACATGGGAGGAGGAGAGAGGGAGCTGGGAGAAAGAGAGGGAAAGAAGAGGAGGGGAGAGGAGGACATGGAGGAGCAGGAAGGTTGAATCGGGGGAAGAATATAGGACAGGATGACAGATAACATAATAGAGGGAGCCATTATAGGTTTGAGGAGAGATCTAGTGCTAGTGAGATTTCCAGAGATCTACAAGGATGACACCAACCGGTAATCTAAGCAATAATGGAGAGGCTCCTTAAATGTTCTTCCCCAATAATGAGACTGATGACTACCTTATATGCCATTCTAGAGCCTTTATCCAGTGGCTGATGGAAGTAGAGGCAGACACCCACAGCTAAATGTAGGGGGAAACTTAGGACTCCGCCATTAGCCACGTGGCGCTCTAAAGATGCATACGGATGTGGTAACGGAAGGGCGGAACCGCATGGCTAGCCACACCCACTTTGGGCATGACTAGAGACAGAGCAGTGAACTACGCTACTAGCCAGGCCCACTTTTGGGCGTGGCTAGAGGCGTGTACCGAGGAAGGAATAAAAGACCAAACAGCAGAGCCTCTCGCCCTCTTTTCGGCTTCCGGTTCAGTGGTGGGAAAACTACTTGACTCATCTGGGTTTCCCGTTTTCTCTTGTGAGTAATTTCTACAATAAACAGTTACCTATACCCTCAGCAAGTGTGCCGTTTATCATTGCAGCATCAGCTAAACACTGAACTGAACTCCTGGAACCCAGTTGCAGAGAGGGAGGAGTGATGAGCAAAGGGGTCAAGACTGAGCTGGTGAAACCCACAGAGACAGCTGACCTGAACAAGGGTGAGCTCATGGATCTCAGACTGATGACTGAGAGGCCAAAATGGGACTGATCTAGACTCCCTGAATGTGGGTGTCAGTGAGGAGGCCTTGGCAATCTATGGGGCCTCAGGTAGTAGATCAGTATTTATCCCTAGTGTAAGAATGAACTTGGGGAACCCATTCCACATGAAGAGATGCTCTCTCAGCCTGGACACATGGGGGACGTCCTAGACCCTGCCCCAATGATATGACAGACTTTGGAGATCCCCCATGGAGGGCCTCACCCTCCCTGGGAAGGAGAGGGGTATGGGGTGGGAAGTTGGGGAGTTGGTGGGGGCAGGGGAGGAGGGAAGGGAGAGGAAGCTGGGATTGACATGTGAAGCAAGCTTGTTTCTAATTTAAATTTAAAAAAAAGAAAAAAAATTCTTCACTACATTTTGATATATTGGGGACAGGCACCTCCCATGTGCCATAGCACATGTGTGGCCATCAGAGGATGACTCAAAGGAGTTGGCTTCTCTCCTACCCAGGAATGGAGATCAGGTTGTCTGACTTGGGGGCAGGCCCCTTTACCTCCTGAACCATCTTTTGAGAGCCTTTTTGTAAGTTCAGTTTTTATTCATGATCATAAACTTCCTCCTCAATCCAGCTAGGTGTGGAGGGGCTGAGGAAAAGAACACACCTAAGGAATCACAGTGTTTGTGAGAGCACAAAGATTGTGGGATGTTTTGAGCAGCTGAGCTACAGAGAGAATGGTCTAATGGTTAAGATGCAGTCAGTCAAAAGTATTAGAACTGTCTACAGTCAGCAGTGGTACATTAGAACTACCCACGGCCAGTTGTCCATGGTCAGCAGTGATACATAGAGCTGTCCACAGTCAGCAGCATTACCTATCTCTTTGGTCCTGCCATTCCTGGGCCCAAAGTGCTTCGTTAACTTCCAAGATGCTCATACATTCCTTTGCCTTCCCATAGACCACATGATTGCAGTAAGATGAAAACCTGGCATCTGTTTGTGACTGACTGGTCCAGCATTTTCCTTGGACAAGGCACCAGGACTGGATTCTTCAGGATGTTATCATTATCAAATGTCTCACAGTAGATGGACTTGCCACCAGTGTCAGTATGGCCTGGGAAGTCATTCCCCTGGCACGTGAGTCCTGGAGTCATTATGTGAAAGGAGGGAGCTTTCTAACCAAATCCTTTCTTGCCAATATTCAGAGCATAGACGGTTTCTGTTGTCTTTGCAATTTTGTCTGAGCAGCTCAAAGGAGCAATGTTGATGAACACAGTGAGGTTGGTCAGGGCTACAACAAAAAGCTATAAGAGACAGCAACACCTGCAAAGCCCTCCCCACCATCTCTCCCCTTTGGGGGTCCCATATGTACCAGCTGGCCTCAAACTTGCTATGTAGCTGAGGATGACCTGTTTCTACCTCCAGAGTGCTGGGATTTTACAGGAGTGTACAGCACACCAATTTTATGCAATGCTGGGCATTGAACCCAGGGCTTTGGTGTAGTGGGCAATCACTCAGTCCATCCAACTGCGTCCCTGGTCCTGTTTAGTCTCCTTCTGCAAGTGCCCTTTGATATTTGTCTGCAGTATTGCAGGCAATTCTACAGGTGTTTCCACTGAGCTTGGTGGCCTTGAGAAGGGGCATTGTACACAGAGAGCTATACTCTGGTCACAAGGGACATTGTAATGATAGTTGTTGAAGATACAACTCTTAACTTCAGGAGGCCATGCTTCAGTCACAGCCTGTACCCATGTGGCTTCACCCAGGCAATACTAGAGTAGATGAAAATTATTTATTTAACGTGTATGACTGTTTTGTCTACATCTATGCCTGTGTACCATGTACAGGTTTGGTGCTTGAAGAGACCAGAAGAGGGCATTGGACCCCCAGGGACAAGAACTAGAGATATTGTAAGCAGCCATGTAGGTACTGGGAATTGAACCCTGGTATCTGGAAGAGCAGCCAGTGCTCTTAATGCTGAGCCATCTCTGCAGCCCTCTGGGTGGATTAAGAGGTTTGTGTGCAGCTACACCCTACCTTGAAGAAGAGACTGTTAAAGCAAGTCCATAAGAGGAAGAACATCCCCCTGGTGACTCAAAGAAAAGCTCATGACTAACAAATGGGTCGTGATTGACAGGAGGGCTGTACCTATACCTCATGGTGACTGGTCTTGATAAAGCTGGTAGTGGTGTGAATGTGGTGGCTCATACCTGTTAGACTTGGGGAGCTGAGGCAGGAAGGTAGTCCATGAAGTAGAAGCCAGCCTGAACTACCAAGCAAAACTATGTCTCTAAAAAAGAAAAAAAATTACAGAGATTGATCAGGTCACACAGAACTGATGACCTGAGTTTGGGTCCATAGAGCCCACTTAAAAGTTGGACACAGTGGTGCCTGTCTGTAAACACAGCATTCCTTTGGTGAGATGCAGATGGAGACAGGAGTCTTCGGGAAGCCTGAGGGCCAGTCAGCTTAGTGTATACAGCACAGTGGCAAACAACAGATACCTTCCTCAAACAAGGGAAGGAGAGAACCAATACCCAAGGTTGTCCTCTGACTAGCACAGGCACTCTGTGACATTTACAATCCTACACACACACACACACACACACACACACACACACACACACACACACATACACACCCATCACACACTTACATGCACAGAAATAGGTTCGTGAACAAACACAAATATTAAAAAAAGAAAGAAAGAACTCTGGGAAACAAATCTGTGGCAGCCACCACATTAGCAGCGCACACATTCCTCATGGCTGAACACCCAGGCTGTACCATTCACACCCACCCCCAGCAGCATTTTCCAGTTTGTCACAAAGAAAACAAAAACCCATGAAACTGATTACGTTTCAGTTTCCCATGACCTCACCCCCGCTTCCTACACAACAGAAGCCACACATTATCAGAGAAGCCGTCTAGAACTCCAGGCTCCGCTGACCAGCTGGAGATGCCCTCCTGTGCTGTCCCCTGGTATGGCAACATAGGGCCCAGCCAAAGGTTTCTCCCAAATGTCTTTTCTTGTCTACCCATGATCATGGGTAGAGACGGCAAAGGCAGCGGGTAGAGTAGCTGCCACTGCAGAGGAACAGAGAAGCGAGAGAGGAGGAAGTGGCAGGCTCCAATGACAGGACTTTCAGAAAGACGCCAACGCCGAAAAGCACAATGTGTGGACACTAGCCCACCCAGAGCTGTGCAACAGCTATTTGGTTGGTACACACACACACACACACACACATACACACACACACACACATACACACACACACACACACACACACACACACACAGAATGTGGTTTCAGACTGCACCATAACTAGGCATATCTTTATTTGCAACCAACATTTTTTTGACTATGGGAAATAAATGTTTATTCCTAGAATGTAAAAATCCATGCTTTGGGATTTGATGAATCCCTGGAAAGCGCTTCTTGCTCCTCAATGGTTACAGGAGCCTTTTTCCCACACAAAACAGTCGAGATGCTCCACAAGTGGTCACTGTCTTGTTTACAAGAGGTCCTGTGACAATGCGGAGGAGGCAAAGGCTTAGCTAGCTATTGAAGCTGACCTGTGCTTGCATTGTCATGGAGTGATCTGGTTCTCTGTGAGGAGCCATGTGGCTGCAGGTGATGCAGTGTTCAGGGACCCGCTGATGCGCTGACAGACCTCTGCAAAGTTGTCTCGGGATTCAGGAAGCTGTAAAGGGTTAGGCCATCAAACTGTGAGCATGATGAGTTTAGGTTTTTGATTCAAGTTTTGCTCTGAAATGCTAAGCCAAAGAAGTGCTCTCTGGGGCTGGAGCGATGGCTCAGAGGTTAAGAGCACTGATTGATCTTCCAGAGGTCATGAGTTCAATTCTCAGAAACCACATGGTGGCTCACAACCATCCACAATGAGATCTGGTGCCATCTTCTGGCGTGTAGACATACATGGAGGCAGGATGTTGTATTCATAATAAGTAAATAAATCTTTGAAAAAAAGAGAGAAGTGCTCTCTGTCCATTGAGGTGGTCATGGTGCTGTTTGTTTGGAGGGTTTCATTTGTTTTGTTATGCAAGGTCTCTCCTTGTTATCCTGGCTGTCCTGGAACTTGCAAAGTATCCACCAGAGAAGACTACTCAGACATGGGTTTAAGGCAATAGAAAGCCTTCATTTGTCAGCCAGTGACTACACTGAGTGTTCTAGATCCCAGTATAGCCCCAAGACTTTCTCTGGGTGAGCTTTTAAGTACAAAAAATGTATCCTGGGTTGACACACTTCAGTTAACAAGAACAGTTGGCCAAAGTGGAACTATAGAAGCCAAAAGGCAAGGTTAATACATTTAGAGACTTTCCCAGAACTATGGACTTTGATAGATTAGGTCTTTGTTTTCATTTTGGCAGGTGGTGCTGTCTACATGCTGAGTTTTACACCCTGAATGGTACTTCTACCATGGAGCCAGTTGTCTGGGTACCTGTTACCGAACTCATTATGTAGACCAAGCAGACCTTGACTTCACAGAGGTCTGCTAGCTCTGCCTCCCTAGTGCTGGGATCAAAGGTGTGTCACTATGCGTGGTGTGGATGCTGGTTGTTTACAACTTGATCTAGCGTTATAATCCTATTTAAAAATAGTTCATTGTTGCTTAAAATAAGAGAGGACAAGGGATGGAGAAATGGTTCAGGGGATGCTCTGCTCTGGTCTCCTTGGGCAACAGGCAGACATGTGGTATCCACACCTATATTCAGACAAACACTTACATGCATAAAATAAAAATACATACATCTTTTAAAAATTATTTCTTTTTATGTGTATGAGTGTTTTGTCTGGATGTATGTCTGCATACCATGTACATTCCTAGGATGCTCTAGGACTGGAGTTATGAGCTGCTGTGTGGGCACTAGGAACTGAACCCAAGTCCTCTGCAAGTGCAGCTGGTAGTCTTAACCGTTGAGCCATCTCTTCAGTCCCAATACATAAACAACAAGAAGAAAACGAAGGCGAGGAGAGAGAAGATGAAAGTTGAAGATTTTTAAAGTCTTCAGTCATCTCACAAGGTGCTCCACCCCTTAGTAAGTTTTTTCACTGTTCCAGTCTGCTTTGAATGCTTAACCATCTTTGACTGGTCCATGATGCTCTTTGGAAGTTTCTTCTGCAGCCGTAAGATCAGCTGTGAGGCTTGCTCTCAGTTGGATATTGCTGTTCGCTATAGTCCTCACCTTCGAGTCTCTCATCTTCTTTGAAAGTCTTCTTGAGTCATCACTGCACTGTCTGTTTATCAGCAGCTCCGGGCCAAAGGCAGTGCTGATGCTGGGAGTCAGCTCTATTGTTTTACAGTCATTTTGAGCTCCAATAAGATAATTTTATATCATTTTCATAGCATAAAATAAATGTAAAAACAGCAAGTAATGAGTCATTAAGAACAAATTTAGAGATGTTCACTAAAATGACATATTAACATAATTTAATTTATTAATAATGCCTATCAAGCAGTGAAATTCAATAATACAAAAGTGTCGATTATGCTGGGCTGTAGTGGCTCATGCCTTTGATGTCAGCACTTAGGAGGCAGCAACAGGTAGATATCTGTGAATTTGAGGCCAGCCTGGTCTACATAGTGAGTTCCAGTACAGTCAGGGCCACACAGAGAAAACCTGTCTCAAAAGGCAAAACCAAAAACAAACAGCAGTTACTTTGTTCCAAGGTAATACTAAGAACCAAGGGTGGGTTTCAGCTTGTAGCTTAGTTGGCCGAGAGTTTGCCTAGCATGCACTAGTCCCCAGGTTCAATTTCCAGCACTGCACAAACTAGGAAGGCCGACATATACCTGTAATCTCAGCACCGAGGTTGTACAGACAGGAGTGATAAGTCTCTGCCCTCCAGAGTTTGGAGCCATAAGCCTCAAGTTTGTTAGTTCATCCCATAGGACACTCAAGGGCCCAGAACTGCCAGCCCTGAGGAAGGCTGTCTTTTGTGCATTGGGGATTTCCATTCAGACAAGGCAAAAGGACCCCAGGTAGCTGTTCGGTACCCAGCTTATGGTTACACATCCTTGTTTCCCACTCACCATTACCAGGACGACTTACAGTTTTCATGGCAACCCCCAGACTTGAGCAACAGTTATCAGGAAGGAGGAGATTGGATGATTGGAGATGGGCTGGTCAGAGGGCAATGGTGCCTGCTCCTCTCACCTGACAACTTTAGTTCCATCTGCAGATTCCACATGAAGGTG